GCTTCTTTTTTTTTTTAAATAGAGACTGGGTCTCCCTATGTTGTCTAGGTTGGTCTCGGACCCCTGGGCTCAAATGATCCTCCCATCTGGGCCACGCTGGCAAGAACGATTTCCTCTTGTGTCTACACTGCCTCGGCCTCCATTTCCTCCTGACTCCATTTCCTCCTGACACTGCCTCGGCCTCCATTTCCTCCTGACTTGCTTCTGTGTCCACCTCTCCTTTGAGACTGCTGTCACCATGTCCACGGGTGACCCCCGCGCTGACCTCGAAGTGGGCACCTCTGTCCCTGGCAGCAGGCAACAGAGTGGATGGCTCCTCCTTCTTGAAGCCCTGACCCTCCACACCCTTCCTTTTTTCTGCCTCCAGACATGCCCCATCTTTTCTGTCTGCTTTACTGGCTTGATTCCGGGACTCTTTTTTCCTCTCCATCTACAGCTCCCTTAGGCGATTTTCAGCAGTTCTGTGACTTTAAATGTATCCATATCCTCCCAAACATACACTTGTAGCCCTGACCAAAATATCTAAGGATGACATTAAAGATGGATAAACCCAAACCCACGATGGCAACTCCTATGCACAGAGGTGCCCAGCCAGTAGGATGAACGTGGAATTTATCACCCAAACACGGATGCTTCTAAAGGGGGTTCTATTAAGTAAGCCAGAACCACAGACACAACTTGTGCTTTCCCAGGCAAACTGGGACATATATCACCCTATATTGTGTGTCATTTCCATCATAACAGTTCAAAATGGAAATCTGTCATCCACAACCCATCTCTTACTCTGCATCCCATCTCAGTAAAAGGCACTGACGCCTACCCATTTTCTCAAGATAAAAACCCAGAAATGTAAATGATGAACCCCACCATCCTTGAGCGGTTCTCTCATCTCCCACACAATCTATCCACAAATCCTCTAACGCCAATCTGCTATCTACATTTGAATTCTGACGACACTCCCATCTCCTCAGCCAACACCCTAGGCCAAGCCACCCACGCCTTCTGCCTGCTAGCCAGTCTTCCGGCCCCCACTTTTGTCCCCCTCCAGGCTGTTCACACAGCAGCCCAGTTAAGCTAAGCCTCCTAGAGCTTAACTCCGATCATGGCACCCCGTAATTAAAAGCCTTCCGCAGTCAATGAATGATTGCCATCTGCAATAACACAGTGAGCTTCACAAACATGAGGCTGAATAGAAGAAGCTAGATATAAGGACTGTATGATTCCATTATAGAAAGCTCAAAAACAAGAAGAATGAATCTCAGTTACTAGAAGTCAGGAAAGTGAGTTCTGTTTCTTGATCTGGGTGCTGGTTGCAGCACAGGGATTTTTGGTTTGTGAAAAAAAATTCATCAAGTTTTTTTTTTTTTTTTTCCAGTTGGGGTCCCACTCTGTTACCCAGGCTGGAATGCAGTGGCACACTCACAGTCAACCCAGCATCGACCTGCTGGGCTCCAGCAATCCTTGCAAGTAGCTGGAACTACAAGCACATGCTACCATGCCTGGCTAATTTTTTCTCACCGAGTTGCCCAGGCTGGTCTTGAAACTGCAGTCTCAAGCAATCCACTCACCTCAGCCTCCCAAAGTGCTGGGATTACAGGCTGAGCCACTGAGCCCAGTCACCTTTTTTTTTTAAAGTTTTTAGAGGCCAGGCACGGTGGCTCACGCTTGTAATTCCAGCATTTTGGGAAACTGAGGCAAGAGGACTGCCTGAACCCAGAGGTTCAAGACAAGCCTGGGCAACTTGGCAAGATCTCATCTCCACAATAAATACAAAAAATTAGCCAGGCATGGTGGTACATGTCTGTAGTCCCAGCTACTTGAAAGACTGAGGCAGAAAGATTACCTGAGCCCAGCAGGTTGAGGCTGCAGTAGTCATGAATATGCCACTGCACTCCAGACTGAACAACAGAGTTAGACCCCAACTCAAAAAAATACAAGTTTTTTAGAGACAAGGTCTCTGTCTGTTGTCCAGGCTGGAGTGCCATGGACTGGTCACTGTAACCTTGAACTCCCAGCTCAAGTGATCCTCCAACCTCAGCCTTCTGAGTAGCTATGATTACAGGCATGTACCACTTTGCTCAACTTTTTTATTTTTTGTAGAAACAGGGTCTCACTGTGTTGCCCAGACTCATTAAATTGATATATAGTTATGACTTACGTACTTTGAATATCACATTTCAACTAAAAAAATTTAAAGCAGGTTGGGTGTTGTGGCTCATACCTATAATCCTAGCAATTTGAGAGGCCAAGGCAAGAGGATTGCTTGAGCCCAGGAGTTTGAGACCAGCCTAAGTAACATAGCAAGACCTCATCTCTACAAAAAAATTTTAAAAAGTAGCCAGGTGGTGCACACCCTTAGTCTCAGCTGCTCGGGAGGCTGAGGTAGAAGGATCACTTGAACCCAGGAGGTGGAGGTTGGGATGAGCCCTTATTATGCCACTGCACTCCAGCCTGGGCAACACAGTGAGACTCCGACTCAAAAAAATAAAAATAAAAAAAGCAAGACACCCTTCAGCAGTTTCCCTCGGTACTTGTAATACAATCCAAACCCCTTGCTTTGGCCTGCAAGAACACATGCTGTCTGGCCCTCATCTACCTCTCCAGTTTCATCTTTCCAGTTCAGTCTAGCTTGTCACACTCAGTCACACCAGCCTTCCGTCTGTTTCTTCAATAATCCAAGCTATTTTCTGCCCCAGGGCCTTTGCCCTGGCTGTCACCTCTTCTTGTTTCTGAATAGTCAGATCATATAATCATCTCTCAGCTCGGATGTCCCTTCAGAAACATTTTTCCCCAGTTTCTTAGTATCATAAAACTTCATGAATTTCCTTTACAGCACTTCTTTCTCTGTCTACTGTATCTTGTCTTTTTTTTTTTTTTTTAATTGTCTAGACCACCCACCACCAAACTCCAGGGGAAGAGGGATCTTATCTGCTTGTTTGCTGTTGCATCGCCAGGGCTTGGTGTGCTGCTGGGCCCCTGGGAGGTGTTCAATAGGCAGACCAGCAGCAGGGTGGGCCTAAGAGGCAATGGCAGTGACCCTAGCGAGTGATGGCCAAGCCCAGACCAGGGCACTGGGAGCTGAAATGGAGAGGAGAACGCTGAGAAAGACTTAGGAGTTACAACGAAGCTGGTGGGCTTGGAGATCTAACCTTTCCGTGACTTCTCACCTCTCCCATGATAAAAACCAGTCTTTGCCGTGTCCCTAGGACCTACGCGGTCTGTCAACAGCAGTCTTCTGACTCCTGACTCCTCCCCTTCCCTGTCACTCCCTCCACCCCAGCCCCACTTGGGCTTCTGAGTGTGCTCCTGCCCAAGGACCTCTGCACATGCCACTCCTCTGCCAGGCTGCTCTTGCCTGAGATTGCCATAGTGCCCACCCCCACCCTTTCAAGTCCCTGCTCCCATGTCACTTTCTCAGTGAGGCCTTCCTTCCCAGCCCTGTCCCCTCTCCCTGCTCTGCTTCACACCAGAGTTCCCCTGGCAGCCCCCTCTGACATACCATGCGTTTTCCTTTTTTTGTTTATGATCTATCTCCCCACAATGCGAGTTAGTAAGAAGCAAGATTCCACACCAGGACTCTCTGACCCCTAGGCACTTGCTCTAACCATTGCACCTTAGGGCTCCAGGTGGCTGCTGCCACACGGACACCCCACATTCCCAGCAGGGAAGCTTGCCCACCCACATGGACACCCATGCTGCCCCCGGCTCCTGGGCTCTCGCACAGAGGAAGGCGTCAACCCTGTGCCAAGATTCCCCCACCTGCTTCCCCCAAATCCTCAGGCACTGACAAGCTCCAGCTGGAGCCGGGTGCTCCCGGCAGCCTGCCCCCGGCTGGCGGGCGCCAGTTCCTGGCAGAGGGGCTGGTGTGTAATTAGAAACTCCGCAAGCTCCCTAATTGCCAGTTCTGCTCCCCAGCCGGGAGGCTGGCGCTATTCTGAGCCGCCCTTGTTGCTGGCTGCCTGAGGCATGTGGAGAGGAGCAGGCAAGTGCAGAGCCAGGCTGGCTGGAGGTGGCCTTGGGGAGGGCTGGCGAGGTCAGAGGGGGCCGCATGGTGGCGAAGGGCTGGAGAGGGGCCAGAGGCCAAACGTGGCACCAAGAGAGCTGCTGCCCTAGCTGGGGGCCCGGCTGGTTTCTCAGCTCAGTCAGCGCCATGGCCGCCTCCCCACCTTCCCCTCCACCCCCCAGCTCCCACCCATGCCCAGAACAGTGATGTCAAACCAGCCGGGCCCATTCATTCTTTATTCAGATGGCATAAAAATCACTACAAAAACTTTACAAAAGAGCCTTAGGGAGCTCACAGGGCCCTTCCCTGCATCGGTCCCTGAGCTACTGGGCAGAGGGAGAAGACAGGAGAGAGGAAGAAAGGGGAATCCTGGCAGTGTTGGCCTCTCCAAGGACCAGCAGGGAGAGCAGGGTGACAGGGCATCGGGGTGCATGGGAGGCTGATAGGCCTCCAGTAAGTTATGGCAGAGCAGGTTTTGTCAGACAGCCCACCTTCACACCCCGAGCAGGACACGGGGCCCCCTGAGGGCTGAGGCTGGCCCACGGTGTGTGACCCAGGACAACGCGCTGCCTCCTGAGCCACCAGCGGGACCTGTCTCTCCTCTCCCTATCTGAGGTGTCCTGGGACAAGTCCACAGGCAGCTTCTCCCTCCTGCCCCTCCCTCTCTGGAAAACAAAAGTGGGGATGTCCCGGCTGACTTAGAAAATGACCTAACCTATCTCCCAACAAAACTGGACCCACAGCTGACCTCCTGCCCAAGCCCCAAAATAGGACACACTCTGCGCCCCCTTGGGAGAAATGAGGGACCAATCTCACCCCCTGATGCCTGCCCCCCTCCCGGCCCCACCCACCCTAAGCTCCCCAAGAAGCCATGGGAAAGAATGGCTCCTGTCCTCTCTCAGACTGCCCACTGGCATCCGGCCCCCAATCCCACAAAGCTGCTTGGAAAGTCACGTGAGTTGAGAGGCGGGTCCAGGCAGGGACTCAGGCTGCTGTGGTCACAGCCCCTCACTTGGGGCTGCCAACCTGGGGGTAATCCTCCTCCGAGGGGGGCGCAAGTTTCAAGTCAGGGCCGAAGAGCTTGTCTCCGCGGGGGAAGAGCTTCCGGTCGTGGAGGATGTCCTTGTTGTCGGGGGAATCCTGCTGTTCCTTGAGCTCTCGCTGCGCACTAGGGTTGGGGTTCCTCACGCTGCCCACAAAGAGGGGCAGGCCCGTGGTGTCCTCGAAGACGAAGAACAGGAAAGGGCGGTTCACGCTGAAGGAGGAGAGGGACATGCGGGACATGGCCACGCTGGTTGCTGCGGCCGCCTCCACGCCGACCTCGCTGAGCTCCAGGGTGGACTGATGCTGCACGCCCGACACCACCAGGCTCTGGTCGGAGATCCCACGCAGGTCTGGGGCCCGGAACAGCTCCTGCAGGCCTGCTCGGGGCCAGAGATGGCTGGTCAGAGCTGCCCTCTGCTCCACAGGCTGCCTGGACCTGCTTGGGAGGGCATCTGACATCCTGGCCAGGGAACAGCCGAACTCACAGATGCCTGCTTAATTCCTACTTAACCTTCCAAGTCTCAGCTTAAACATCATTTCCTCCAGGAAGACTTCCCTGATCCCCAGCTCCAAAGTCCAGACTAGGTGCCTTTTCAATGTCCTCCCAGGTGAACTGGAGAGAAGCCCTCTGTCTTACATCTCATGATGAATTAAAAATACCTGATTGCTTGTCTGCTCACCCCATTAAACTGATCTAATACAATAGTGTACGTGGTTCCCAGTGCCTGGAATGTAGAAGTTGTTTAGCAAATGGCTGATGGGTAGAGGCATCCTTTGAACAGCGTGACACCCCAGGGGAGGCAGCATACAGATTCTTTGCAATGTTTGATCCCTGGGTCATCTCTGCTTGCCCTAGGATAGAGGGTCCAGGGGGTTGGAAGCAAACTGTCTCACCCTCCCTAAGCCCTGGAAAAGACCAAGACATGGGGTAGCTTTGATGCAGACATACTGCCTGCTAGAGGCTTCCTCCTCCCCGCAGGGCTGGCCCACACCCGGCCTTCTTACCCAGCTGGCTGAGGGTGGCCACCAGGTCCATGTGGTGTTTCAAATGCAGCTTAGGCAGCCGGACCTTGGTGGGTCTCTCCCGCAGCGAGGGCTGGTGCAGGGTGTCCCAGCTCAGGTTGGCCAGGACCTGGGACACGTTCCATTCAAAGCGGGTGGGTACAATGACCACAAAGCTCATGTTGTTCTTAAAGGGGAAATGAGCCACCTTCAGACAAGGGAAGGAGAGAACGTGAGAACCAGAAAACACTCAAACCCAGGTGGGGGCTGGACTAGCGTATACTTCTGAGACAGATAGACTGAGGTTCCTCTGAAGTCCCACTGTGGGTTGACGTGTGATTGAATGAGATGCTGCTTTTACAGTTTCTTGGGTGTTTTGGGGTTGGAGTCTCACTCTGATGCCCAGTGAAGTGTGCAGTGGCACACTCACGGCCACCGTAGCCTCCACCTGCTGGGCTCAGGCGATCCTTCCACCTCAGCCTTCCAAGTTGCTAGAACCACTGGCACATGCCACCACACCCAGGTAATTTTTTTATTTTTGTAGAGACAAGGTCTCACCAAGTGGCCCAGGCTGGTCTCAAACCCCTGGACTGAGGTAATCCTCTTGCCTCCCAAAGTGCTGGGATTACAGGCGTGAGCCACGGTGCCTGGCCTGCTTTTATAATTTCTAGCAGTGTCTGCGCTCATCAAGGGAGCTCAATAAAATAGTGGTTTTCCCTCTTCCTCTGCTACCAGCTAGCCTTGTGGCCTGAGGCACAGAACCGCCTGTCTTCGCTTTGCAGTTCCTCCTTGTGTCCCGTGGACAGGATCACTGGTTTTCACATCACGGCTGGATTTGGGGAAGAGACACTGCAAAGGGTGGTTCTCTCCCCTCCCCTCCCCACAGTGACTTTGCCAGCTGTGAATACAGACTGTGATTCGGGGTAAGACTTCATTTGAAGGGGTTCTGCAGTTAAAGCACCATGAACACCACCAGTCTTGAAGGCCTCCTGCAGCTGTGACTCCTTGGGTTCTAGACAAAGCACCTGTGCGCGGGACCCCTGACAGTGGGAGGCTGAGAGCCAGAGTCTGACTGCCTGGGCCTGACTGCCGAGGACCTAAGGAAGAGACATAGCCTGGAGAGAAGGGGCAGCAGGAAGAGGGGAACTGGTGGGGAGGTGAGCCAGACCATCCTCTTTCAGAGCCAGCTGGAGAAAAGCCAGGACGCTGCTCCAAGGGCCTGCCCTGCCCACAGCCCCCTCCCAGAAGGGCTGCTCAAGTGGCTCCTTGACTCCTTCCTGCAGAAGTGGCTGTGCTCTCTGTCATGCTTGCCTTGTGAAACTAACAGACACTGCCATCTCAGCTACAGGGATCAATGCCCAAGCCAAGAGGACCACAGTTAGGCCAGAAAGAAGGGAGGCCATACCTGAGATAACTGGTCTAATCAATCACAATGTTCCATAAAGGATGCTGAGAAATCCAACCCAATCAGATACTCCCTTCTAAGAAACACTGCATGAGAACTATGTTGAATCTCTCAGGCTTGGGGGTGCTGAGACCCTGAGTAGCTGCAAGGCTCCTGGGGTGGACTCCATGTTGCTTGCACAAGTGATAGGCCTTTGCAACAAGCCCCCATCATCAAAAGTCACCTGGGTCTCAACTCACTGCTCCCTGACCATTCACTCTATTTAAAAAACCTTTAACCAGGCACAGTGGCTCATGCCTATAATCCTAGCACTTTGGGAGGCTGAGGTGAGAGAATTACCTGAGCCCACACGTTCAAGATCAGCCTGAGCAACATGGCGAGACCTCATCTCTACAAGCTGAGCATGGTGGTGTATGTCTGTGGTTCCAGTTACTTGAAAGGCTGAGGTGGAAGGATCATCTGAGCCCAGCAGGTCGAGGCTGTTGTGGCTGTGAATGTGCCACTGCACTCCAGCCTAGGCGATTGAGTGAGACTCCGATTCAGAAAAAAACAACAAAACAACAAAAAACCACTGTGGTCGTTAACAGATCATCTCCTTGCTGGGTACAGTGGCTCATGTCTGTAATCCCAGCACTTTGGAAGGCTGATGTGAGAGGATTGCCTGAGTCCAGGGGTTCAAGACCAGCCTGGGCAACTTGGCAAGACTTCTTCTCTACAATAAATCAAAACATTAGCTGGGCATGGTGGTGTATGTCTGTGGTTCCAGCTACTTGGAAAGTTGAGGTGGGAGAATTGTCTGAGCCCAGCAGGTCGAGGCTGTGGTGGCTGTGAGTGTACCACTGCACTCCAGCCTAGGTGACAGAGTGAAAGACTCCAACTCAAAGAAAAAAATTAACTGGACATGGTGGTACACACCTGTAGTTCCAGCTACTTGGGAGGCTGAGGCAGAAGGATCCCCTGAGCCCAGCAGGTCAAGGCCGCAGTGGCTGTGAGCATGCCACTTCACTCTAGCCTGGGCAACGAGTGACACTCTGACTCAAAAAAAAAAAAAACAGAAAAAACCCAGGCAACCCCTTCGGGTCCCCTCCCACTTGTGGGAGCTTTTCTGTCCCCTCAATAAATCCTGTTTTCTCAAAAAACAAAACAAAACACAAAATCACCTTCCTTATCTTCCTTCATAGCACTTACCACTGTCTGAAATTATTGAATCGATTCACATGTGCTCGTGTACTATGGATCGTCCCTCCTAAGAGGAGGGACCTGTTTTCCCTTGTGCTCCACAAAAACCCCAGAACTTGGAGCAGTATGTGGCACACAGCAAATGCTCAGTATACAGTGGGTGCCAAAAAAATGTATACGTATTTTAAGAGATGTTAAATATGGATTTTCAAAGTTGAATTAAATTATGGTAGCAATGTGTAGTATGACGTTCATTCAATCGTTTCCACCATTTTTTTTTTTTTTTTACTGTCTTGCCTGTCACATGATGATGTGATCATTCATTTGATTAACACCATCTTTTGAGTGAATGTTATACATTTTTGGGGACCCCATATGTATTTTTGTTAAATGAATGAACCTCAAAGAGCCCAGGGTCTCAGTGCTCCTGGTGGGCTGGGCACAGTGGAACCTTTCAGAGCTGCCTGCCCCAGGGACATGACCGCAAGGAAGGTGGAACACCCCCCAACCTCTGTGCCTGCTCCACGGCCTGTCTACTCCCTTTCCCACCCCCAGCACCCAGGCCTGAGCTGTTAGGCAACCAAGAGCGACCTGTATCTCAGGCTGCTCCAGCAAGAACCAGCGCAGAGGGTAAGAACGGGCTTGCATCATCTCTACCGGCACCGTGAACTGCTCGTCCAGGTGGAAGGAGTCTCTCTGGGTGAGGCTTGGGTCAAATTTGCTCTTCCAGAAACCTACAAACAGGCAGAGTTCATGCAGACCAGGACTAGCTTGGGTTCTACACCCCCAGTGTTTTGCCCATCCCAACCAGAACCCATCCAAGGGATGAGAGGTAGAGGCCAAGACCCCAGGAACTGCACCTCATGGGGTCACACTCAGTCACCCAATTAATTAGAGGTCTCTTCCCTGTAGCATTTCTGAAATCTAGCTAACCTGGCAACATAGCCAGTCTCTACAAAAAATTAAAAAATTAGTCAGGTTTGATGGCATGTACCTGTAGTCCCAGATACTGGGGCTGCAGCAGGAGGATAGCTTGAGCCCAGGAGGCTAAGGGTGAAGTGAATTAAGATTGTGCCACTGCACTCCAGCCTGGGTGACAGACTGAAACTCTGACTCAAAATTTTTTTTAAAATTTTAAAAATTCCACCAGGCTCAGTGGCTCAGCTTGTAATCCCAGCACTTTGGGAGGCTGAGGCAAGTGCACTGCCTGAGCCCACAGGTTCAAGACCAGCCTGGGCAAATTGGCGAGACCTCGTCTCTACAATAAATAAAAAATTAGCTGGGCATGGTAGTGTTTGCCTGTAGTTCCAGTTACTTGGAAGGCTGAGGTGGAAGAATCGCTGGAGCCCAGCAGGTCGATGCTGGGGTGACCGTGAGTGTGCCACTGTGCTCCAACCTGGGCAACAGAGTGAGACTCCAACTCAAAAATATGAAATCAATCAATCAATCAATCAATTCAAGTTTGGGCTTGTATTTGCCCCATTCTCTGTAATGCTCCCAAGGACCTGCCCCTGGGGCTTTTCAGACCATTTCCTCCCATGTACTCTCTCCATAACAACCTCATCTGGTTCTTGGGTGTCCCCTTCCCACCACACCCAGACGGCCCCCTGCCTCATGGCCCAGACGACGGAGGAAAAGGGACCCTCAGAACAAAGCCTGCATTGCCCAGCTCAGCCTGCAGGGCAGGAGTGGGGCTGCCAGGTGGGGCTCTGAGAAGAGGAGAGGCGCACCCTGAAAGTGGATGGCATTGAGGAGAAGCAACACTGTGTTATCTGGCAGCTCCGAGAGGAACTCTTGAATCTTCCCTTCCGTGGCCTCCTTCACCCATTGGTTGATGTTTGTCAGGTCATCCTCCTGCCTTCCCATCAGGCTCACGGGCTTTGCACCAAATAGCTGTTCCGATTGTTCCAGGAAATCTTCTTTGATGGGAAATCCTACACACGGAGGGCCAGAGGCTGTTCCCAGGGCTCAGGGCTCCACAGCCACTGGCTATCCAAGGCCAAGTCCATCTCTCTCACCCTTCTCCACTCCAGGGCACTACCAAGGGAGGGCCCTGCCATCAGCACCTACCTTTCTGCAGGTACATCCTGGCAGCCAATCGGAATGCCCCAGGACCCAGGTTCTTGCTGAGGTAGCTCAGCAGATGGGGGAGGCAGGGCCCTGAGTCTGCATGCAGCACCTGTTGCAGCCTCTGCAGTGTTTGGTTCTGAGCACCTGGAGAGGACCACACGGGCTAAGGCCCCAGCTGGAGGTTCTCTCTCACCCCCGCTGCCCACTCCAAGTCTTCTTGGATACCCATGATGAGCATGCGCAGACGATCACAAACTCTCCTCTCATATCCTCTGAGTTGTCTCCGTGACAGAACTCCCGAATTCTACATTCATCTCTGCAGCTGACAGGCTAGGTGACCTCACCCTCATGCAAGGTGCTTTCCCTCTCAGACCTCAGTTTCCCACAATGAGACCCTCCGGTACAATGGGAGATATTGTACAAACTCTTGTATAAAAATTATCAGAACCAGCCAGGCTCGGTGGCTCAGCCTGTAATCCCACGCCTTTGGGAGGCTGAGGTGAGTGGATTGCCTGAGCCCGCGGGTTCGAGACCCGCCTGGGTAGGCGAGACCTCATCTCTACA